GGTTTACGTCATCCGCGATGGAAAAGGAAGGTTCTTTGCCGACCCCCGAATTCCTCCAACTTTAATGGCAGCTATCGGCGAAACGGTACCCCAAAAGCTACTTACCGACGTGCGTAAGAGGTATCCTAATGCCAGTTCGACTCTTTTAGAATTCCAACGCGGTGACAAGGGTCAAATTCAAGTCCGTTACATAGGCAGGGAAAAATGGTATGACTTTTATCAAAGCAAAAAGTCTAACGCACTTAACAACGCCTTACCGAAGGAAATAACGACAGCACTGGGTAGGCCTGACTTATCCGTGCTGTCCAGCTTAACTACTAAGGAAACATCAAGGCTAGCTTCAGGATTCTTCAAAAGTCTTAGGACTGCTAGGGCTACCAGTCAAATGCATGCCATCTCCGGAATTCTGGATAAGGATCAAGGAAAGCTCACAAAAATACAAGCTACTAAGGAAGACGTAGAGGAAAAGCTAACGAGTACGCCGTCGGGCAGCAGCGCTGCCCTGCAGCTGCAGCAGTCTTTAGAATCACTCAACATGGAAGAAAATGCGCAGCAAAGAATCATAGACGAACACAAAGAACAACTTGACAAACTCACGGAGCAATTAGACGAAAAAAACGCTGAATTACAACAGCAGGCAGAATACATCAAAGATCTAAAACGAGATATGGATACTAAGGATGAGGCGTACATAAGAGCAATACAGGAATTACAAGAAACCAACGAAGCGCAAGACGAAGACACTCAGCACCGCATTAGTATGTTGCTGCACGAAAGGGACGCTGCTAGAAGGAACTTCGACCGTGCAGTTAGGGACGTTGGAGACAGAGACGCCGAACTCAGACGCGTGGGTGCACAGCTGGAAGCCTCGGTAATGCAAGAGCGGCGGTTAAACACGGAAATCATCGTTAAAGGGGAGCAATTAAGACAAAGAGAGCAAGCCATAGAGGACCTGGAAAGGCAAATACAAACGCAACGGGAAATAATCGACGATCAAACCCGCGCCGACGGGGAAAGAGAAGCAGCTCGGGCGCAAGTAGGGTCCCTAGAGGAAAGGATTGCGGAGTTGCAGGCGCAAAGAGAAGGCTTGGAAAGGGAGCTGGGGCTTACCACAAGGCAAAAAATACTGAGGGTCCTTCGGAGGTACGGCATTCCATTAGCGTTTGCCGGAGCGCTCGCAGGCGCTATTGCTGGAATTATGAATGCAATTAACGGCGTGGCCACAGGCGCAGAGGCGCTTGGAAAAAAGGTGGGGGAAATGGGAAAAAAGGTGGGAAAAGAAATGGGGGAAATGGGAAAAAAGGTGGGAAAAGAAATGGGGGAAATGGGAAAAAAATTAGGTGCGGGCCTAATAACCCTGGGAAAAACAATGGCAGCCAGCGTTGCTGGGCTGCTTGGTAGCGTTTTAAGCCTGGTATTAAGAACCGGCGGAGAACTGTTGAAGTTCGTGGGGAATAACATTTGGATCTTGGTCGTCGCTATTGGAGTGGTACTCCTGAAGAAGATGCGGGGTTAGCCTTATCTGGGTACGTTACTGGAGGCTTATCGTCGTCGGGTGTCCGAGGCATCCTCGACTGCGGATAAGTAAAGATAGTATTCGCGCCGCCTTGATAATGCGTAACTAAAGGTATAGCAGTCATGGTGCTAATGGTCTTATGATTCCAAACAGCGTCCACCACGGCACCCTTAGACGTCACGGCATTAAATACGACGAAGCCTTTATACTTATCACTTAAGGCGTCGCCGGGACGAAGTTGAAGCTTCGCATATTGACAATTAACTATCATATGAAAAGTTACCGGCGACTGATTTTCCCCACTAGCACCCGCACTTTCATGCGTAAAGTGTGATGAGTGCCTGCTATTTACTTTTTTTCTATATGGAACTAGTGGAGTGTTGGTCTCATCTACTATCCTAATCCCAAGATTACAGCTATTCTTTAGGTTAATGTTAAGGGTGCATATGAGCAATCCTAAACCCCCAACCTTTACCCAAATTTCGGTATCGAACCACTCATCCCCTTGGTAATAAATCTCTCCCAAATAGTAATGAAAGCCTTCTTCCTTCGCGTGTGGGTTCATATATCTAGAGACTAACCACCGTAAGAGTGCTAATGGTGGCGTGATTATAAGCTGTATCCCTTTGATTTTCTATGCTATTTACCGTRACCTTTCCCGTATCRTCTACKCKTATCTGCAGCTTTACCTTCCCATGGCAATCGGCCACCATGTGGAAAGTCCAAACCGATTGATTTTCGGCGCTGG